GGCCGCCTCTGGGGCTCCTCGCCCCGTCCCGCTCTCCCGGCCGGGCAGGGCGCCTCTGCAACAAGTGTGGCCGTGAGAGCCCCGGAGCGAGAGGGCCCGGGGCGGCGTTGGGCTGCGCGGCCTTCCCTCAGCCACGCGCTGTGCTCCTGCTAGTGGAAACCTCTGTGGTCGGGTTAATTTTCTTTTCAAATCTTTGGTGAAAACCTGGCATTTCTGGTCTCTGTAGCGCAGGGTAGAGGGGGTCGTACCTGCCCTATTGCTCTAAGGGTTTTTGTGTGACTGCCGTGCCAGAGGTCCGGGGTTGGTTCCCTCAGCTGAGGTTTTGACCCAGGAGACGGATAAAAACGTTTTCTTGTCTCAGCAGCAGAAACTAGACTCAGATCACAACTTGCTGTTCATGTCTCCATGAAATCTTGATGTTTTCAGTCAATAATCTGCAGCAAAATGGCCTTGTTACCATCTCCGTTCCGTCAGCCAGTGTGTTTCTTAAAACTATATTTATCTGTGCCTGCTCGCATGTTGAGGTTTCTGTCGAGCCTTGTAACCATGGTTGTGGCTGTTCAGAGCCTGCCTGGCGCTGGGTGGGCTGCCTGGGATGGGGATGTTTTGCTTCTGGAAGCTCTGCCTGTGGAGGAGCAGCTCTGTGAAGGCTGGCTGGCAGCTTTGGTTTGCCGTGTTTTGCCTTTCAGTTGTGTGAACTCTGGCTTGCTTACAAGCCACAAGGCAAAATCGGAGCTGGCAGTGGCTTTTGAGCATCACAGTCTGTATGGCGTTGATGAAGGACTTTCTTTTGGGGACTTTCCTAATCCTGACATGTCTCGTACATGTAACTGAGCGCTTTTATTTAGTAGTTATTAACAGTGGAGGTGGAAGCGCGGCGTTACTGACCCCAGCTTCTTGTCAGCACGGGATTATTCCTTGTCCTGGGGGTGTATTACTGCTGTGCCAGACAAAGACCTTTCTCTGAAATTCTCTCATGGAGCTCTTGCTAAGGAACAGGCATTCTGTTGTCTTTGTCCACAGACTTCATCTTGCACAACTTAAGGAGGAAAGATCTGGGGAGAGAGAAGGTTTTACTCCTGTCCCTTATGCTCAGATGTTAATTTAGAACTCCACATTTCCTGCCATTCGCAGCTTGTCTCTTGACATGAGCGCAACTTCTCATTGTGGAAGGACTGAGAGCAGTGTGCCTTTGAGCAGAAATTGAACTGCTAGTTAACTTTTCCCACATGGTGTTGTCATTAAGCGCAGCCTTTCATCAAGCAGTATTAACTACTAGGCGGCTGATTTTTTGTTTGTTTTCCTGGCCTCTTGGTCGTTGGTTTGTGGTTCCCCCTCCCCCCGTGTATTTTGTGTTATGGCTCCTTTCATTCAGTTAATTTTGCTATGGGTGGAAAATCTTTTCTAAAAGTGCTGTTTCAGACTGACTGACTATAACTGAAACAGCGCATTGATTTCCCCCGCCTTCCTTCCCTTCACTTCACAGTTGGGAAGTCCGTAAGGGCTAGATTGTGTTTTCATTTATAAAACAAAGCCTGTGGTCTGCTTTTTGATCACGAGTTCCTCAGGCAGTCGAAATGGAGTCCCATGGCCTGTTAATTACCTTGGGTTTGGTAAAGCAGCATTGGGAAGCTTCTTTTGTCACCAGTTTATTCTGTGTAGTATGTGACTTCAGTGAGGTGAAAATGTAGATAAGTATATACATAAAAACAACTATTCCTGCAAACAAAAATGTCCACGATGTAAAAGCAGAATGATTTTGCTCTATTCTAATAAAGCAGCTAAAAATGGCAGGTGTAGCTTTTTGCTGAAAAGATTCTAGTCTTCTTTGCTGCTGCCAGCATTCAGCTGAAACTTTGGCTGTACTTTGCAGGATTCAGGAGAGCCTGTTCTCTGTGGGATGGCTGCAGAGCTCTCCCAGTACCGCGATGGCCTGGGTGGGCCGTCAGATGGAATGTGAGTGGCAGTCATCAGCCTAGAAAATGTTAGAAATAGAAAGGCAAAGTTAATTAATCTGCTCAGTCTACAGGCAGTCCCGTGTCGCTGGAGGAAAAAAAAAAAAGTTGTTGCTTTCCCAAGTTGAGCAAAATGAAACTTCTTTGTGGGATTTTTTTTTTAATCTTTATATCACTGTGCAAGGCAAAAAAACCCCCAAAACCCAAACCAGCGACTGATTGAAATAATGTTTGTGTAAGTTGTTTGAATTGAAAGGCCAAAATAAAATGCAGAGAAGAGACCCTAAAAACCCATTCTTCTCCTTTCAGTTTTTTGCTGTGAGTTACTTTTGCCTTGGTTCCCTAAGCCAAGGAACCCTCATTCTGGGCTTGAGCCTACACCAGCTTTATGGTATCAAACTCTCAGTGCCTTGCTTGATGTAGGTTTGCTGTTCTGTTTTAGGCAGATAACTGGAAGAGAATGACAGTGAAAAGCAGGACAACAGCGTTTCTGTAGACTCTTGCGCTTTTTCAGAAACCTAAAGAGGCTGTTTTGGGAGCTTCTGCTCTGTGAACCATTTTATAGAATCCTGTGAAGCAGATAGATGCTGTGGACATCTGGGATTTATGCAACTGTGATGACTTGTCTTTGTTTTCAATTTTTATTCCAGAAGAGTTGCCATTACTGAAGATTCTTAATGCCAGATAATCAACCTACTGCCGAATAACCATGAAAGAGACAAGGTAGCTGCCCAAGTGCGAGATAAAAACTGATTTCAATGGATACAAAATATAAAGACGATTTATTTAGGAAGTATGTACAGTTCCATGAATGCAAACTGAATGCCTCTGACAACAAGCAGCGTCCTATTAATGATGAGTATTTGCGAGTGGCAGCGGCAGCCTTACTTTGCCTTCCCAAAATTGACCCCTTTTATAGATTCCGGTTGATAAAATTTTATGAGATGGCTGAAAACTCACTGAGATCTGTGAAATCCTCAAGTTTACATTCTCTCCATAATGCATTCAGCATGCTCGAGACAGTTGGAATTAATCTCTTTCTTTACCCCTGGAAAAAGGAGTTCAAAAATATTAAGGTAAGACATTTTATGTGTGGCCGTGGTGAGAACATGATTTGGTTTTCTTTCCTTTAACACATTTCATGCATTTCCTCTAAAGACTTATTTTTTTCCACCTATTAGCATGATGTATATATTTGTCTATATACAGTTGA